GATAAAGTGGGCGCAGGACCCCAAATGTCTGTGTAAATAAGATCTAGGACTTGAGAACTAGAGGAAGCAACACGGGGGAGGGGAAAACGGGCAGATTTGCCTAATTGACACCCGTGTGACCGAAACTTTTGCAGATTTGACACGGATCATTATAGCGCCAAAAACAATTGGCTCCCGTGTGACCAAAACGTTTACAAATTTGACACGGATCATCATAGCGCCAAAAACAATTGGCTCCCGTGTGACCAAAACGTTTACAAATTTGACACGGATCATCATAGCGCCAAAAACAATTGACTCCTGTGTGGCCGAAACCTTTACAGATTTGACACGGATCATCGAAGCCACGTTGCTGACCTCCACGGTAATTAAGGTTGCCATCGCAGCGCTGCATCTTCTTAATTTTATGAATCACAAAACCCTAGCTAACTGATACCAGATGAGAACTGATTGTATTATATTTTCTGAACTTGATTACAATGAGATCAGATGTGAATATATAGAATAGAGAGTCACAGTGTGACAATGATAAGAAGTAGAGAGTCACAGTGTGACAAGGATAAGAAGTTCTAAACAGACTCATATACATAGAGTCCTAATAATGAGTACATGGGGCAGCGCATTCTTGTGTTCATTTTCTGCCGAAACTGAAACTGCAGCCAATGTCAAAAAAGCACCCACCGTGGGGCTCGAACCCACGACCACAAGGTTAAGAGCCTTGCGCTCTACCAACTGAGCTAGACGGGCAGTTGTTTTGAAAGCAGTAGTTTACTTATTAAATTGTTGGTCTGAAGTGTTATTAATTCTTCGAGTTTTTTTAGTTCAAGTCTTAAACTATTTGGTTGGTTAATGTTTACCTTTCAAAAATTTTCAATTCTTATGTAAAAGACATGCTGATGTAATGGGGGGTTTACTAGAACTATTAAAGTTATTAAAGAGGTAATAGAATTTGTATATCTAATTCAACCAAATTGATATTAAAAATTAGTTGTGTTGATTAACAATCATTATTTTTTTTTGGGAAGCAGGAAAATGACTTCTGGAAAGTATTTTTTGGAAAATGAGTTATTTTCGGAAAACATTTTCCTTTCTCGTGTTTGGCTACAAAGCGGAAAACTATCTTTTGTGTGTTTGGTTCATTTTCTGGAAAATGGGGTAGAATTATATAATTAAACAGTTTATATAATTAATTATTTTATTTAAAATACAAAAATATTTATATTTTTGAAATCAAATAATATTATTATCTATTAAAAAGTTATAAATTTTTTTTTTTTTAAAAGAAGAAAGAACAAAGAATGAAAAATGACTTCCCCCAAAAAAAAGGTGAAGTCATTTTTCGAAAAAGAGGTCTCATTTTCCATTGACTATGTGGCATTTTCCTTACACAGCCAAACACCAAAAACCCGAAAAATGATTTTCAGAAATCATTTTCCGAGTTTCCAAACACACCCTAAAATTTTATTTGACGATTTTCGACCACTTTCCAGTGATCGAAAAATCGCCTGGTTTTCAACCGTGAACCCACCCAAAACATTAAGAAGGTCCAAACACTAGATTGACTATATATATGTAAAAAAAAAAAAAAAAAAAAATCTATCTAAAAGCAGCATTAAATTCAGTGCAGTTGTTGTTGTTGCGGTGCTCAGATAATATTGTAAGAGTCAGGAATCCAGTGTTGCAAAAGGTGCAGACATCATAGACGGAGCCAAAGGGGGAGGGGGGGGGGAGGGGGTCAGCTGCCTCCCCTCACCCCACCCCCACCCCCATCCCATGTATAATTTTTGTATGTATATATATGTATATATAGTACATTTTTGAGTATTAGTATATAAAAACTGTTGATTGTTAATAAGATATGAGTTATATTAGTTGGTAGAGCATGCATTTGGTTATAATAAAGGTTAGGGGTTTGAATCTTATAGATGTTAATATAGTTTTACAGTTTTTTTGGCTCCCTCCCTATGGCTTTAACACAGTCACGTTTTAATAGCTTTTTTAATATTTGATAGTTGATACACAAATACATACATATATATATTTAAATTATTTTATCAAATTAATTATGTTTCATATTTTGTTATGAATATTTTTATAAAGTTTTGATGTGTTTTATTTTTCCCCCATATCCAATAATATTTACACCTATATTTCTTAGGTAATTTATTTATTTATTTTTTAAATATCTCTTTTATTTTAATGTTTCGCCTTTACTGAAAAAAATTTCTGAATCCGTTCTTATTTCGCCCCCCCCCCCCCCCCCCCCTCAACAAAATTCCTGGCTCCGTCCCTGGCAGACATTATTGCCGGAGTCCTTCTTCTTGTGGTCCTTTATCTTCCCCTGCACTCCATTTTTATCAACCTTCTTCCTGTTATTTGATGAGTGATGATGAGTCTTATTTTCTCCATAATTCACAAGCAGAAGCAGGCTGATCGAGATAGATCGATCGAGAATGAAATGAAATTGAAGCAACAGGCCACCACTCAGTTGAGCGCAAAGCTCGAGCTGAGGGAGGAAGGGATAGATATGATGGAGGTGCAATGAGAAAAGCAGATTTGTGTTGATTAGTTTAAAAGAATAAAATTTTACAAATTACATACTATCTTATTAGTTTAAATTTTCATAATTATAAACTAGAGGTAGATGGTGATCATGTGACAAGTTAGGGGACAATGAAAATGTCAACAAATGAAGCAAAGCCAATGGCCCAAAATTAATAATTCGTCCATAGATAGATGTAAGTGAAGTAAAGTCAAAGAGTATTCAATGCCTCCCGCTTTCAGGTAGTGCCATTCTTTATAGCAAATTAGCAATGTTGTAGAAATCGGCATAGGCAGTCGCCTAGGCGCTAGGTGCCTCTAGGCCAAGGCAATTTTAGCCCTAGGCAGTTTTTAGTCAACTGACTGACTAATTGGCTGATTAGGCGTCGATTTAGTTGAGTTGAGCGCCTAACTCGATTGAGTTTGTGCCCAAATCGATCGAGTGATTTTTTTTTTACCTGCTCAGTTACTTTTCTTTTATATTTCTCCAAGTCATGTACTCAACTAACCATCTAACATATGCAGTTGACTAGTTTGGGGGATTATAACAATCTAACAACTCCTAATCCTGAGTGAGAAATTAAAAGTGAAGACGATATACTCAGATTACTCGGCCGCCTAGGCGCTAGGCGCCCCCGAACGCCTGACTAGCGCCTAGGGTCTTCTGCAACATTGCTTTATGGCAAACATATGGTTTACAAACTCTTTTCCTACTAGTTAAAATCGTGGAGAGATTACGCTCTACAAAAAATCTAGAATCTAGCATTAGTTTTCGAGGAATTTAGAAGATAATTAAAACCTACACTTGATGTCTTTCCCACACTAAGCGTAACATCAAACGTCGATTTATGAAACCGTCAGAATAAACAGCACTAAAGAAGCAACACTAGATCTTTGTGTTTCTGTAGTGATGGTTCAAAATGGCATGCCTAGCAGCCCAAAAACCCAATCTATCACCTTCTCTACTCTCATGGCATCCTCTTCTTCTACTACACTTTAGACCCTTCACTACTGGCTGGTGATCACTTAACTCATAATGTCCAAGATTATATTTCAACCACGAAGCAACTAACCATTTAGCTCTATCTTGAATACGAATCTGCCCATTATATGACTATCCATGTATTTGCAGAGATTTCAACTTGATTTCAGCATTCACTGATCCCTATACTGGACTTGGAATTGGGGAGAAGCTTCATTTTTTATTTTATTTTTTTTTTTTTTGGAAAGAAATTCTGATGCCTTTTGCAGATGTGATATAAGTTATAAGGAAAACGGAGCTCAAGGTTTTGTGTTTTTGTGTACCACATCGATTGATTGAGGAGTGGGTAGGGAGTGAGCGTAGAATAAAAGGAGAGGCGAGCAGGCAGATATAACCATCTTTGCGCTTGGGGCAATGACGCAGCTAGTGAGGTTTTAACCGAGGCGCGTCTATTGCTGGTTGAAAACTATTTCCAAACCCCCTCTATGGCTTAGGTTCACCCTAAGCCTTAGAGAATTTTTGGAAGGGCTTCCTTTTCTGGAAGCCTTGCAATTCTAGTCTAGAATTATATATTCAATTGTTTCTTCACTTGAGTTACTTGCCTTATCAAGTGAGAGCGGTTTGATATCATCCATATACATTGGAGAGTATTCGTTAGATTGTTTATGATGACTTTATGAGAATCCCTTAGGCCTAGAGAATTGTTATGTTTGTGTAGACGTTTTGTTTGGGTTCCCCCTCCATCCAATCATATATATGCTTAGAAATGGAAAGATTCACAGTGCACTAATTAGAAATTAAAGAAAAACTGAAACATGGAAGGTGTATGGGTCAGCAAAAAGAAAGCAAAACTACAACATAGAGGCGAACCCTCGACCATACCATAAGGTTAAGAGCCTTGCGCTCTATTGATCTGAGTTAGACGGGCAACTTGTTTGTTGGTGAAATGTTGGGTTATTTCTAGAAGCTTTAATCTGGACATTGTTAATAGATTTATAGTTATGGTAGAAGAGGAGTTTTGGGAAGATTTTTTTGGCCCTGTTTGGTAAAATGGATGTTAGCTGATAGCTGTTATCTGTTAGCTGATTGTGTTAATTAAAAGGTATAAATAATTGATAACATTAGATGATTGTAGAAAAGTGTTTGGTAAATTAGCTGTTAACTGATAGCTGTTTGATATAATTTCTTTTCTCAAAAAGCTAATTGAAAAAGTTGCTTGGAGTAGCTTTTTGAAATTTTAGCCTTTTGAGTTGCAAAAAGCTAATTAACCAAACATTTCTATTAATATTTTAACTAAATCAAACAATCAATAGTGGTCAAACAAGCCAAAATTGACCTATAGGCCAATTTTTTACCAAACAGGCCCTTTAAGATTATGCAACTTGGTTGGGATAAAGGTCTTTATCAGATTAGAATGCAATTTTGATCCAAAAATGCCCTAACTTTTACCACTTAGTCATAAAAATACATTAGTAGGAGGATCCAAAACCAAATACCATCATTGATTGCATAAACACAAACTAACCACAGTTAAAGTCTATATTCAAACCATAGCATGTGGACAGTCTCAGTACAAGAATATAGTTTTAAGATAAACCAAAAAATGCTTCAATTTCCTTTAGAAATAAATTTCTGCTGGATGGTGGCAAGATTCACAATGCAGCATCATATCAGGTTGCTTTTGTGGTGAAAAGGCTTGGAATTCTGGTAATTCCTTGCATGAATTGTATATTGCAATTGCATTTAGAGTAGGGAACTTGGACTGCAAACAAAAGCCACTTGGATCAAAATACATGCCAAGCAAGAAGCAAGAAAACTTGAGAAGATAAAATAAAGCCATAAGCGCATGTGGAACCCGCAATCCTAATCAAGTTGATCGGGCTGTTGGTTCGATAATCACATACAAAATTTTAAATTTGACTCCTAGTGGGAGTGGCCTATTTACTATTTTAATCTTTCGCACTCACTGGATGATATTTCTGACTCCGCCCATGCCAATGGCTGACATTATTATCATATTCCTCCACATTATGATAAGCCTATTGAATCCATAATTGGTGGAAGAATCTACGATCTAAGATTCTGATTCATAGACAACGCCACACATGGGATTCCATACAAGCCAAATGCTTGAAAAAGAGAATATAATATGTACACGACACTATTATTATTATTATTATTTTTTAAATCTTTAATTTCGAAATATTCTTAGGCCATTAAATAAATTCATTCGAACTATTTAGTGAACTCAATTTTTTTCAAATGGCAAATTATTGTGTGGAACATGGTTATGGTTATGGCCCTTTTTTGGATTTTTATGCTTCCATTCTTATATAAATAAATAAGGCCCTACCAAAAGTATAAATACAATCTTTAAAATTAATACCGTAAAATATATTATTTTTATTTCAAATAAGTATGCGTATGAATGGTATAACACTAGCTAAATACAAAAATCACAGTTCCGACTTCAATTTACTTCCAATTAAAATTAAAGCTAGGGCAACTAAAAGTAACATACATACCAATAGTCCTGAGCCCCGCACAATGAATTGCCAGGTGATCTCCATCGAAGCTGCAGCGTCCAATGTAACAGCTGCAACAAAAATTACATCGATCACGAGGTGGATTCTTAGTGCCAATAATCTATATCTATTATTGCGTTAGATGCATTGGCGTTGTAATTTGTGGAGATTGAATATGAATACAGTAATGAGTTTATGAAAGGTGAGATGAAGGGTGTTTGATACTGCTAATTCTACGTAAGCAATATATAACAACACGAGACCAATCAAAGCAAGTAAATATCTTTATTGATCACGGTAAAGGCCCTAAGTACAATCTACTTGGTTGCTCTGAGTACCGACTGACTGCGGTCGGGATTCTCTAACAACAACCTATCGATCGTCCAAAAGTCCCTTACACTGTAGCTACTGTGGGTATTTATAGCCGCTATGCCGGGGACAAGATTCCAGCCGTTCGGCATGTCCTCCACGTAGCCACCACGTGTCATCCTCCCGGGTGCCCTGCCTGTCGATGTAAAGAGCCGCCACGTGTCCTTCGTCAGCTCTTTCGCCAAAGGGCTACCGCTCGGTGGCCGACACCGTCGCTCGGGCAACTCCCGGTCGGTATACGACCGGGTTCTTCTCGAGGAGCCCGACCTGTTGCCTGCAAAGACAAGGAAAAAGAGACAAAGGCTCCTTGGTCGTGGTGAAGCTATGTCGGTCGGGATATTCCCTACCAAGAGCCCCCCAGCCCGGGCCTTTTTGATCGTCCGGGAAAAAATGGGCCGGGATGAAGAAACCCAACCGCCGGCCGCTAAACCGACCGGCCAGCTGTCATTCCCTTCTCCGCCACGTGTCGGCCACTGCCGGCCTCGGCGACTGCAACCGTTGCCTCGGAATCAGCGCTGGTCGTGTCGCGCAAGTGGACAACTTTCCCGCCTAAATGCCCTCCTATAAATAGGCCCTTGAGGCCCTCATTTGAACTTTCCTCAATCTTCTGAAGCAATCGGTACCCTCAGAGAGTCCCGAGCAGCAGATCGGCAATCCGACCAAGCAAAGCAAAAGCTCAAATCCACTTCCAAGTTTCTTCACTCGGTAAGGTTCTAGCCCTTCTCCTTTCTTTACACTTCCATGTTAGGTAGAGCTGCTAGGTCAACTAACTGTCCCGGACACTTTAAGTCCTTCACTAACCCCGACCGACCTTTAGGTAGATTGAAATGACGGACTCTGACAGTCAAAACGCATCGATCGCGGATTACGACGAGGAGGTCGAGCACCTCAGCGACGAGGAGGTGGACATCATGTCCTACTCCCCCGAAGCTACCAGCCGACCGGGGCCAGCTCCCGAGCAGGCCGCCGCACAAGACACGTCGTCCAGCTCATCCGGGTCGTCGAGCTCTAGCTCAAGCGAATCGGGGAGCTCCGACGAGGAAGAAGAAGAAGGAACCACGTCGGGGAGACAAGGATCCCCGACCGAAGGCGTTAGGGAAACGCCCACCCGGGTGGTTGGGGACCACCCGAGTCTTGCTCCCGAGCCGGCCGAAGAGGACACGGCCGGGCCAGCCGCCCCAGCCGTAGCGGAGTTCGAATTCTTGAACAGCGAGAATGTCGAACAACAAATGAGTCAGCTAACCAAGGGCGAGGCGGCTAGGATTGCCGAAAGGCTCGCGGGTCGGGTAGAGTTTGACACGAGCCGGCAGTTAGGGAATGTCATCGATCGGCATCGGGGCAAATGGATTGGGATGCACTACGACTCCCTGATGGCCCCGATCGCCATTCCCTTCACCCCCCTCCTGAATGCCTTCTTAGCCTACTACCGGGTCGTCCCGGCCCAGATCTGCCCTAATGCGCACCGGATCATCGCCTGCTTTCCGCAGATATGCGCTCGGCATGAAGCCGCCTGCACGATGGAGCTGTTCAACTTCATCTACCAGGTCAAAGTTCTCCCGGGCAATTATGGAGGCGGGTTCCTGATGCTGCAATCCCGGGCCGATATGTGCGCAATCAAAGGCCTGCCCGGGAACAACAGGGGGTGGAAGAATAGGATCTTCTCCCTCAAATACGACCCCTGGATCCTCCCGGTTGATCGCGCTTGGAGCACCCACTTTCGGAAACAAGTGGTGCCGGTCGAGACGCAAGCGCTGAGGGAAACGGTCAGCCGGATTTCGAGCAAGCTGCACGAATACACAATCTTCCGGACGGCTGAAAGTCTCGAGGCGGCTCAACTCCCGCCCCCCACATACGAGCTGCAGGAGAAGTATCTGCCCGTGCCGATGGGCGTGACGGTCGCCAAACCCGCGAGGCGAACGAAGAAAGGTTTAACTCGAGCTAACCCTCCCGACTCATCTTTATGCCTCGATTACACTAACGATCTCTTTGTTTTGCAGCTATGGCAGACTTCGGTGAAGAAGAGGCCCCCCTTCCCCCGCCCGCCAAGATCTCCCTTGGCGGTAAGAAGAAGAGCAAGGCGAAGCCGGCCGGGGAGAAGGAGGTCCCCTTGGCCCGACCGCTGAGTACCTCGACCGTGACGACGGGCGAGGGCTTCATCGTCGAGCCCTCCGATGTCCTGGTCACCCGGGTGAAAGTCGCCCGGGGAAAAGAGAAGGTGCCCGAGCAGGGCGTGAAGGAGGTGGGCGGCATAAAACGCCGCCGTGAGCAACGAAGCCCGAGCCCTTCGGTCGGGCGAGAAAGGGACGGCTCGTCCATCTTGGCCCGCATTGGCAATGCGGGGCGGGCCAAGGAAGATCTGGGGAAGATGACCCCGACCCAGGTAGCCGAGAGGATCGGCTACGACCTAGCAGAGGTAAGCCTTCTTTAACTATCCATCTTTCATTTTTTGTGCAAGTGCCTTCAATCGGGCTGACCCGTCTATTTTCGCCTTCGCAGATCTCCCGAGCGGCCCAACTCCTTCAGGGCCGGGCTATGCTGGCCGAGGAGGCTGACCACCACAAGAAGACGGCCGCCCGTCGCCTTCTGGAGGTTAAAGAGCTCCAAGCTGAGCTCGAGAAGGTCCAGAAGGCCTTGAAGAAGAGCGAGGAGGACCGGGCCCTCGCGGAGAAGGTCGCCCAGCGGGCTATCGGCGAGAACAAGGAGCTGAAGACCCGGCTGGAGAGCCCGGAGGAGCTGGCCCATTCGGCCTTTAAGGACGACCAGATCGGCTCGGCCTTCCTTACAGCTGCTTGGAGGACCAAGGTCGGGGAGGACCTGATTCTCTCCTTTGGTCGGTGGGCCTTTAAGGCCGGCCAAAGGAAGATGCTAGAAAAGGCCCAAAAACGGTTGGGGGAAGCCCTCGAAGGCGACGACCTCCAGCTCGTACTATCTGCCCTTCCTCCCGACCTAGCTGATCCCGGCCCCTCTCCCTTTGCTCCGAAGGAAAGAACGGCTGAGCCCGGTGGAACCTCAGCGGCCACCCCGAGCGGAAAGGATACGGCTGCCGGAGCTCGGGAAACGAAGAAGTAGAATAGGCTTCTTTTCTTCTTCTTCTTTTTTGTAAGGACCATTGATCGGGAGCCCGGTCCCGATTTGTACCGGGCACTCCATTATATCAATGAAACTTATTTTTGTTACTCCCACCGCTTCGTTCTTTCTTTTCGAATTTTTATCATTAGTCGTGTAAACGCCGACCCTTATTGCTCGACCTTGTGGCCTTTTTGGCCCGGCCTTGCACTGCTCGATCCGTTCGACAGCCGACCTTATGGCTTTATAGCCCGGTCATGCGTCTGAGATTTCGACATCAAACTGGCCAACCTGATCAGGTTTATCCGATCTTCAGGCCTTGTCGAAATTCCTGAAAATAGATTCGTCCTAATATTGACCTATCCGACCAAGTTGACCCGGTCCCCAGGTCTTGACGAATTTTCGAAAAACAAGCCCCATGGTCAGGATATACCGAGCGATATGGGCCTATCACACTTCATATACAAGCCCCACGGTCAGGATATACCGAGCGATATGGGCCTATCAACACTTCATATATCCCAGCCCCCACACTATCGTGCCTTCGAGGCACGAGTGGGTGCGATAGTGGACAGAAGATGGACGAATCGGGGAATTATGCTGTGAGCTCCTAGCTTCCCCGATCAATGGCGTGACTCGAATGTCCGCCGATGTGGAGCGCATCTGACCGGTCGATAGATTCGCCCGGTCGGTGTAGCTTGAAGATAAATTAATCTGCACGCAGTGAAGATACAGAAAATAACCGATCGGGCCGCCGTATGCAAACGGTCGAGCAATCACCGATCGTATATACATTAATCTTTCCCGCTCGCAGGCGGTTGAGTAAATATTTACAAACATAGGGGTTTAATTACAAATGACGACCGGGACCCACACGCAGGTAAAGCCCCCTCTTCGTCCAAAGATTACAAAAAAAGAGGCTTAATGCCTAAACATAACGAGGTGCTCGGAATTCCAAGTCCCCTCGATTACCCGACCAGTTGTCGTCTCCAGTCGGTATGTTCCTGGCCGTATGATCGCACTGATGATATACGGCCCCTCCCAGTTCTGAGCTAGCTTTCCACCCTCTAGAGGTTGACTGGCCTCCCTTCGTCGTAGAACGTAGTCTCCGACCTGAAAATAACGAGGGTTGACCCGAACATCTTTAGAACTCTTGACGCGCTTCTGATACTCGGCTATGCGCCGAGCGGCTAGCTCTCTTTTTTCTTCGACCCCATCGAGATCTACCGCCATGGCATGTTCATTTTCCTCGGCATTGTAGGTTCTCTCTCGATTGGTCGGGATCCAAGCCTCGATCGGGAGTCGGGCTTCTGCTCCATAAACCAAGGCGAAAGGGGTCTCCAAAGTAGCTTCCCTCGGGGTCGTCCGATAAGTCCATAAGACATATGGCAACTCATCGGCCCAACTACGACCAGCCGAGTGCAACTTCTTTTTCAGACCTTCCAAAATCGTCCGGTTCGCGTTCTCCACTTGACCGTTTCCCTGAGGGTAAGCCACCGACGACCGGACGTGAGTCGTCCCGATCGTGGCCAAGAAGTTCTGGAAATATTGGCTCACGAATTGGCGGCCGTTGTCGCTGATGAGATGCACGGGCACACCAAAGCGGGAAACCACATTGCGCCAAAGGAAGCGAGCAC